TGGGAGTTAAATCCAAAGATGGCAAAATAAACTGGAAAAACCTTGCCTTTACATCAGCTGCTCCAAGACCGACTATATATATATTCACTATTGACACAGATTAAAGAGTACATCTGATTCCATTTCACCGATGAATGTGCGTTCCTTCAAATACACCGGCTGTGTGTTCCAGAAAGACAGAGGATATGAGAAATACAACAAATGTCAAATAAAATGCTTTAGAAGTGGATTATCTCAACTGGAAAAAATGTTTCAACCTTTGACAAAAACATCTTAATGAAACTGTAGAGCTGTACCAGCTCTTTGGAAACGACCAAGCAGGAAAACACATATGGTCAGATGGAGGCAGGGAGAGACGGGGCAGATGGCAATGAAACAGTGAAGTGAAGAGGGATGTTGGATGAAGACCAATCCGTGAGGTTGAAGGGGAAAACCTTTTAGGCATATATAGACGTTAGAATATATTTCTGTCACTGTCAATGTGGAACAAATAGCTCGATTGAAACATTGAAACTAAAAGAAAAATATCTTTTTTAAGCTTTCTAACATATTTGTCACACACTCAAAGTCAAGGTTGTCTCTTTTCTGTGGACATTTATTGGAGTTTTATTATGGCATTTATTTCATTTATTAAATATATTTGTTTTCCATATTCTGACATTGTCTATGAAGATTCTCAGTCATCCAGGTCATGGTCAAGTTTGAAAGTTCTGTTGGGCAACTGGCCTGAAAATTCACACATATTCTGACATTATTTTAAGCCAATGACTGTGTTTTCCTGATGGAACAGATTTATTCCAGTTGCCAATAAAAGACTAGGCATAAACTGAAATCACAAAAAGACTAATCCTTCAACTGCATCATCCCTCCATCATGTGTCCATCATCGTCTTCATCATCACTAAGTAACTGCTGTGTGATAGTAAATCTGCAGTTAATCCCCACGAGACACACAGCACCTCCATCAGGCCGATGTCAACAGTTTATCCCATACACTTAAATCCTTTTACAGGCTTTCACCATCAGACCATCCAACTGACCTCACTGTGTGCTTCATGTTGATTTTCACAGAAATAATCCATCAGATCCTCACTGTCACATTTCATACAACAGGTTAACAATATTCTTTAATAAAATCCATGTGAATTAGTTCCCTTTGTGTCTGAAATACTTTAAAATCAGGTTGATTTTTTTTTTAAATCTCTGTAAAACTAAATGTGAAATATCATCCTGTTCCATTTTTGTTATGTATTCTGTCTGGTCTTCCCTCTTCCAGAGGTTTACTTGCGGGATTATGGTGGGATTAGAAGGGATTAAGAATACAATCAGACCTGAATTTGTTTATACCTGAGGTCTACAGAACATAACATAAATCAGGTTTTACATTTATCAATTTTTTTCCGAAACACAGTCACTTCAAATATATTCAATTTTTTTTAAAACTTTTAACATCAAATTCCATTCCTTTGAAATGGATGAGATTTTCATTTGACATTTGATGCTATAGTCTGAATCAGCAGGTTCAGGTGCATTATTGATGATGTTGATTTTTTCAATCATCTGCTAAGACTTTTTTCAAAGACACAAACACATCATATGTGACACCAGTGGACCAATAGCACCTGTGTTCCCTGCTAGCTAATAATGGAAACATTCTTTATGGACTTTGGGTATGGATGTGTCCACAGTAGAGACTTAAGGTTAAGACTTTGTTCCTCATCCTTGATAAATTTCATTTAACATATGTTGGTGTGTTTCAGTATTTAAATGTGATTATAAGTGAAGGTATTTAAAGGTTTAAGATGATGCAAAAAGCACCAGGTTCAAGTACGACATGCCAAAATGTTACATTCAATTTTGTTTTTTTACAAACTACAAAGACGTTCACACAGCTGGTGAAAACTGCATTGTGTGAAACAGGACGTTAAAGGCAGAACAGGACACAGAAGGCTACTGGCAGGAAATTGTTTTAGCTGCTGAGTCAGAGGGAAGGAAATTCAAAATTGCTGAGTCAGCTTAACAAACGGCGAAAGCAGCCTTCCCAGAGTGCCGTGTTACATCGGTTCATTATCCCTGACACGATACGGCCGAAGAAAGATAATGACGACAACTGTGTGAGAGCAGGACACGAGGGAAAGGATGGAGGAGACGGGCAAGAGCAGACATCCTGTCCTAAATTTAGTCTGTGTTGGGTCACAGACGCCCAGAGAGTACACATACATCTGTATATATAAACATATATATATTTAAATATATAGAGAGAGACTGTATGTATAGATGAACAAAAATCTATAGAGGTTCATAGACTTTGAGACTAACGCAGCTAAAAGTCTGTTTGAAAAACCTTCAACCTTCTCTTTCCTAATCTGGGATCCCCTAAAACGGAGACAACGTCTTCGGTCACAGACCAGATTTCCGTAAAGGCCATTAATAAAGCCAAAAGAAGGAGCCACTGTGTCCAATCTCTCAAATGACATGATCTCTCAGATCATTTATAATACGACAAGGGTTTATTATGGAATTATCGATCCACAACTAAATATAAATGTTCCCTACCCCAGCTTTAACCTACAACTGAGACACAAGCAATAAGCCTCCCACCTCCTGGCATGAGTTTAAATATAAACTTTTGTGAGAGATGGAAATGAATGTTCACACCTCAAACTGTGATTTTTCACAACACTCCCACAATCCTGTACACACAGATTTCTTCTAAGCAAGAGCAGACATAACCTTCCTGTCCCAGTGTAACCTGGGTCCTCTGTTTTTAAAAACAGCACATGTCTGCAGGAGATATGAAAACAAAGACCTCTTCTTCTCCTGCTTTGGTTAGATCAGAGCAAAGGACTCGCAGGGCTGAGAGCATTCAAACCAAAAACGTAGCTAGAAGGAAGAGGAGTTAGAAAGAGCCAAGAAAACATTACTGATCTAAGACAGGTGTGTCCAATTAGCAGCGAGATGACATCCAAGTGTTTCAGCAGCTTCCACTGGAAACTGTTAGTTCAGTGTAAGTGCCATACGCTTAGATGCACGCCGTCAAACAGCCAGTAGGAAAAATTCTGCTTGTCCTTAACAGATATAGGGAGGAAAAGATTCAAGGAGATGCAAGAAAAATGACTCATGAACTGAGTGGTTTGTAAATAGCTGCTTCTCCCACACCTAAGTCTGTAGAGGAATTAGGTAATTCCACAAGTTGCCTTTTTGGTGACTTTATGATTGAGGTAAATCTGAACAAAGAACTTAGAAAGAACTGATTGAGGTAAATCTGAACAAAGAACTATAAATAAATCAATAAAAATCAAAAAACGACAAATTCAATTGAATAAAGTGGGCAGTAAATCAATAAACTTCCAAAGAGCTACAGTATATAAAAACATTGTTCCTGTAAGGGCTTTCTAACAAAGACAACCATTCTGTAATAATTCACATTCACACTTAATCCAAAAGGGTTCATTATTATTCCTTTACATTCTACACACACTAATGCAAAAGCACACTGTTCTGTTCAAACAAAATCATTAAACACTGTGACTTCATCAAATGTGTGTGAAGGTTTGTGTGTGTATGTGTCTGTGCTGTATATATAACGCCTAAGCTCTTGTTTCAGTCGATATGCTGAGTGGATTGGTGCTTATTTGAGCCTTTAGTCAATACATCAGAGTGTGCGCTTGTGTGTGTGCACGCATGTGTTCGTTCTTATCCTCTTGTCAAACCATAGAAAGCTGCTTGGTTTCACAAATATTTTGCTTTTGTCTCACTTTATCTGCAGAGAAAAACATCAGCTCGAATGTGTGTGTAAATTCGCCACGATTTAAATGCAGTTTAACGGTTTGTGCTACAAAAATTAAACCCCAACCAGAACAGTAGGCATTGCAAGGATATTAAAATAAAAAAAAATATTGACTCACAGAAATCAGATTTAATCAGTTCTATTAGTGTTCCATGTTACTATCATTTATATATATTTAAACATATACTGTAAATATATATATATATTATATCATTTACATCATTATATATTTTTATATGATCTCTTAATTACTTTACAACCAACAAATACTGGTGGCTTGTGAACCAAGTAGATGATTTTAAATATATAAAAGCTAGTAATTTTAAAAGCATTGTTTACTGACACCAATAGACACATCTATTTTCTACCGGTTATCAGTGGTACTGCAGCCTGAACTGCCACAGGGAACATTCAGTGTTTTATATATACAAACTTTATGCATGCATTTTAACATGCATTTTAACATGGCAACACTAACACCTCTACGCTAACAAAACTAAGCTAACATGACCAGAAGACCATTACCAGTTCACTGATGGTAGTCCTCTTTATCTCTATCTGCTGTGTTTTGTGTTTCAGACTAAACCATGAATCAGGATGAATGAGACTCGTGGGAAATGACCAGAGATGCTGCGTCAGAGCTCACAAATGAGTTTCCTGTTCACATGATGAAGGGAGTGCAGCTTCCTGTTTACACGATAATCACTTCCTGTCTATAGGATAATCATTTCCTATATATAGTCTGCTTGTTCCTTTCATATACGTCATGACTTGAATCCAGTTTGTCCTGGGCACTTTCTGTCTACAGACTGCATTTCCAGGTCCCTGAAGATTAAACATGGAAACAGGGAGCATAATTTTCTGATCTGGTTTTCATCAGATAAAAAATAAAGTTTTCCATGTGACCTTAACTTTCTGTTCTATGTCATCATTAAAACCAATCAGTTTCCTGTTTTAAATTTCTACACTGCAGACACATTCACTTCGGATAATTTCTCTTCAGCCATTAAAAAGATGTTTAAGTGC